AGCTAATTGTGCCCACTCCAAATAATTTGTACCATCAAAGTTTTACTATAGTAATGATCCCAGACCCAAAAATATCACTACTACCTCCAACACCCAGTCCCACAGTACCGATAGATTTCATCTCGGTATTCCAACTCTCCATCTTACTTCAAATAATTCAACAGTAAGAAAAAATAGATTGAAAACCTTCCATAAACAATTTAATATCACACACAGAAACAAACCCTTCTGGAAGAAGAAAACCCTGGCTAGAGATAAAATCACACACACAGAAACAGCACCATCCCTCTCTTTGTTTCCCTGATCTTCAAGCTCAGCTGACCATTTAATCTCAGCTCCTCAAATAGTAGCTCCTTAGTTTCAACCTTCAAGGCTTTTCTCCAGCGGCCTACCTCCACAAACTCTCCCATCTCCAGCTCCTTAGTTTCCTCCTTGGCACTTTTTGGTTCCAGCTTTCTTCGCCTCCATACTCGTCTGCTGCTACTATTACTCGATGATTCCTGTGCTCTCAAAGAACTACACAGACGCCATTGATTTTCTGGACAGAGAGGGACTTCGATCTTAGACTGGGATGGTGGTTCCCTACAACTGGAGGTCTGAGAGAAGAAGGCAAGGGAGGAAAAGGGCAGTATATGAATACAACAACATTTTCTGTTCCCTTCTCCACAAAATCAATAGAACCAATTGACTCTAGTGGCTCATGTCCATGCAACACTGCTGATTAGAAATCTTCTATATATAGCAGTTAAACTTGAAAGAAGAAGAAGAAGAACTGTTTACTGTATTAGAGAAGTATTACAGGTTAAGAGAAGAAAGAGAGAGAGAGAGAGAGAGAGAGAGAGAAGAAGAAGAAGAAGAAGAAGAAGAAGAAGAAGAAGAAGAGTGAAGAGAGGAGAAAAGAAAGAAGGGGTTCGGTGGTTAATTATTCTAGTGGACTTATGGTTGTAGGAAAGAAGACTGAGGATGTTAGAAGGTATCTAACCATGTATAATCTTCTTTAACTCTTCTCTGMCCCATCTAAGCCCACAATGTCCTTGTCTGGGATATATTTATTGCTATTTTGTATGACAAACAAGTAGTTAATTAACAAAATGCTCTTGATAGAGCACAAGTCTAAGATAGCCTTTGGATTTGAAATTGGAGGTGGAATTTGATTGGTCAATTCTGAAGTCCGATGATAATGTCATTTAGATGATTTTCAAAGCATGGTATAGAAGTTGGAGAAATGCAGAAAAGATCCTGCAAATTATGTTTCAGTGGAATTTGAATTCTTCCCAGAGGCTAGTTCATTTCTGTGGAATCAAAATTCTAATACATTCTGCTCCGAAATCTAAAATCAGCCTAACTGAATCACTATTAGTACTAATGATAACTCCATAATTAGTAGAGATTTACAAAATCCAAA